AGCGTAAATTAGCCTTCAAAGGGAAAAATCACTGGAAGAGTCGACAAAAACAGAAGGGAGAAAAGTTTCAGCCACAGTGACAGACAGCTGGAGGAGCTGGAACACGCTGCAGCTAAATTTCCCCTTAAAGTTAAAGACTAGATCATGGTAAATATAAAAGTTATTCACAAAGCATCTGAGCCCTTAAGAGAGCTCCTAAAGTAAAGATCTAAGGATGAAGAGTTTCTCACGGAGAAGAAAGAAGGAGAGAAAGGTGATCATAACAATACCAGCTCTATCACAGCCTCATATTAAGATCAGTCGGATATACTCTTACAGTTACCAGCATGGTGAATAAACATGAGCACGTAGATATAAGATTTTTATACAAGAAAAATACAAAATATTTGATATAATTAGAGCTCAATTAATTAAATAAAAGTTGTAATTGACTTTTGCATCAGAATGGTTCAAGAGTAAATTGGTGAATGTTATTTTTCGAATCAAAAGTGACGTTCCTGGGCCAGTGATTACAATGGTTGGGCCAGTGATCTTTGAAAACTAGTGGCCCGGAGGTCCACTGGCAAATTTAGCTTAATGTCAACCCCTGCCATGTATCCAAGGCTCCATCTGTCACAACTGATCTTATGAGTGTGGATGTATGGTGCATGCATATTCAAACGTTTGAATTTGTTCATAGCATTTAAGAATGTGCTCTTGCTAATGTTGATTTCATTTTGCATACATTTAAATTGCATGATTTAAACGTGTATGGTATCAATGTAAAATTGATTTATCAGACATTTATATCCTCTGTTAGCATTTGTCTGTCCTTATGTTCATGCATTACAAAATGTATGGTCTCATTTCTTGTTGTTGCTTCTTGTCGTTGTCGTCTTCAGCCGTGTCTTGTGTTTCTCTCTCTGTATTCCCCCTGGATCAGGATGCCCTGCCTGGGGCTGTTGACTGACAGAAAATCTGAATTTTAATGTGTTTAATGTTTGCATACTGAGCTACACAGTAAGGAAATCAGATCTAGGGCAAAAACTATACCCTCAAGCACAGGGTCTACTCTGCAGACAGATGGACACACACACATCACACAAACGCACACTCACACACACACACACAAACATAAGTTCAAGTTCAATATGCTTAATGGGCATGAATAGAGACAAAAAAACGAAACAGAGACGCATATTAACAATGTACAACGATGGTTAACACTCACGAGATACAGTACCTAGCTAAAGAATTATCTTTTTTTTTCAGTAAACAATAGCATTCTAATGCTGCAGTGGATTTTATTTCTCTTTGCATCTCTTGGCTCAGAAAGGCCATATGATGGTATGATTAGGGATCATCTTGTGCTAAATGAACCTGGAATTTGATCACTCTTTTGGTCATCTGGAGAGACTGAGGGAATTCCCCCAGCTCGGATCTGCATGCCAGGTTTGGGCAGTTTCTGGGGACCTTGTGGATTTCCTCACAGAAAAGCGGATTCAAATTTTCGATTGGGGTCGTGTCCCAAGATGTCTGCCATTTATTCTTTTCAGGGCCCCACACTTCCCTTCTCTCTTTAAAATATGTATTTGTGAACTAGCCACAACAGTCCTCAAGACCTGGATTACACATTTAAGGTAGAAACAATTCTAATGTATTCAGATGATCGGCTTCTTCTTCTCCAACAGAGAACGTCTTAAGCTGAATCTCTAACTGCCGGAAACATTCAGCTAAAACTGGGCACTTAACAGTGTTTCCCCTAGGTTTACAGCTTTGGGGGGGGTGTGGGCAGACGGATGCCGACACAAACACTTTAAGGAATTTTGGTGTTCATGTGTTACTTTTAATGACAGCTGTCCTGTTCTATCGGAAAGGTTTCCTTAAATGACTTCTTTCCCTGATTTCCGACTCTATCCACTATTATAGCTCTACAATAAAGACACAAAAAGCTCCCCCCAAAGAATGAATATATATATATATATATATATATATATATATATATATATATATATATAAACTTGACCTTCAAGGGGGGGCGGGTCACCCCCCTAATATAATGGTAGGGGAAACACTGCTTGACATCAACCTCGCAAAAAACTTCAACTATTCAGGAACATTATTCAACCCATCCTTATGTATGTAGGGGTTAAAGCTGTTTGTTTGCACGTATTGATTCATCTTTTCTAGATCCTTGCTTGTGTTGTACTTACTCTCTGATGTAAGTTGCTTTGGATAAAAGCTTCTAAGCTTGTAGTTGCATCCTGATGTTCGCCCCCTCCTTGATTAAAAGACCAATATGTAAGATATCTACTGCATTAAATCATAAAATGACCTTATTATATCATAAAACATTAAGGAAACATGCTGTGTTGAAGGTCTGTCTTCTCTCTCAACAATGCAGCAGCCAGTATTTCCTCCTAAGTTTTAATTCGGTGAGGAATGGTTTATTTTTGTTTTGACCCGAGAAGGTTACCAGTCTTAAAGAGGACATATTTTACCCCTTTTCTACCTTTTCAAACAGTCCCCTGTGGTCTAAATGAAAAATATGTGTTGTGCTTTTGTCAAAATGTAACATGAATCAATCACCAGAGGAGGTTTTTGACCCTGTATAAACCAGCTCTCTCAGAGCTCTCCGTTTTGGTGTGTGTGTCTCTTTAAATGCAAAGAGCCCCCCTGAGTTTTCCTGGTAGACATCACTACTCTGTAACAAGAATGAAAATGGCAGACCGGCGCCAAGGTTTTGTTCTAGGCTGGGGGTGGAGTCCATGGGCAGATCAGTATGCGAGTCTGCCTAGAGAATCACCCCTGGTTCTGCCGTCAACAATGTCCAGATTCAAGTACTTACACAGCTAAAGTGTCTGCTTGCCAGCTTTTTTATTGCACTTATTATTATTTCTGTGTCTTTGTTCGTTTCTGTGGTTTTGATATAAAGGGGAATGTCCAAATATGTGTTTGTTTCCTTCTGAGTTAAGGAAGTCTGGTTCTCTACCAGTTCTGGCATCAAGATCATTGATCACTGAGTGTCCTCCACAGGAGTGTTTTACAGTTGGTGTAACAAGTTCTATATTATTCAATAGGCAGTTAGTTTTGACTTGATTTGATTCTGTGTTTCATTTACACACACAGTTTTCAGAAACATTGCCAGTGCACAGAACGGTTATGGCAGTGATAGTTGCCTGTAGCTAAGTGCGCTGTGTTGACACATGCCGTGTGTGGCACAGACCCATATAGCCAAGCAGTTGTTTGCTGACTTTGGTCCAGGCCATACTGGCTGGAGAGATAATGGAAAGGGTTATTGTGCTTTACAGTTGGAGCCTCTGTCTCTTAGCAGCAGCTTGGTTTGTGTGGATTCAGCTTTCTGTGTGTATTTTTTATCACTTCTCATGACATTTGAAATGGTAATGGCTGTGGGTCACTCACTATCCCTGTTTAGCACCGTCCTTTTTTGTCATTTTCTTTCAATCTCAATGCTTCATTAATTCATCAACACTTATTTAATGCATGCATAGAATGTAAAATGTATCTAATCCAAACTGATGACACCTAGGGTAATCATGTTTTCACCGTGGGAGGTTTTAAAAAGAAGTCATCCCAAACACAAAATTGTGTTATAGCCAAGCGATGCCTACTGAGCTGCACAACAAAAAGTAATTCAGACTTTGAAGCATGCAGGTCTGTTCCCAAAAAACTGAAGCAATCTTGTTCTTTAGCTATTCTCTGGCCAAGGTTCTGTGAATGTGTAGCAGCCTGTTTGTAGTTAAAAGTAAAACTGAGCGGTTTACTGTGGGGAGCAGGCTACAAAGCGACAGGTCACTCCTAACTGCACCCGGCTACCTTCCCATAAGTGCTGCAATCTGATTTCTGATGGTTTCCTTTGCCTGCTCAATCATAGTTGGAAAATGTCGATCCCTCTTCCCACCTGACCCATTATGCAGCCTGCTGAGAAATAATGAGATTTTGTCCCTATTTGGGTTTGATGCATGCTGTGCTCTAACACACAACCAGGCTGTCCACCGCTGCCTGGGGAATGTAGTGTGGGCAGAATTACAATAAGAGCTAATAGCAGCATTCAGCCTAGACTGATGATGTAACTTCAGCAAATTCCTAAAAACCTCATGTAATTAGTTCTAAGAACACATTCACAGATCTAACAGAGAGCAAACCAAATAAAAGCAGAACTTGTTACGTTTTCTAGTTAAAAAGTACTCATAGTTTAGAGGTTAGATTCTCTGCCCGAGCCTGACTTGACGCCGGGCCGGGCCAGAAGAGACACAGAGACATGTAATGTGTCCCTAGAGGGTTACCATATATAAAGCAGTTGTTGTTGCCTTAATCTGGCTCACGGTGCTCTTGTGTGTATGTTGAATAATGCTGAAGCCCTGGCTGGAGAAGTTATACCTCTGTGTACAGTTGAGTACTTTCTTACTATATATAATCAGTCAGTTAAATCCAAAAAGCTTGGTCACTCAAACAAATGTTACTCAATTAATAATGTCAACATTATTAGTGATGTTGCTATTTGGCCAAGTTTGGATTTCATCAAAGAGGGGATTTTAGAAACTTTGTCCAAGTTAAAGCTTTTTAACAACTCTAAGATTTGAACACCAACACAACCGAGATGTCTGTCAAAAAATATCTGTTACACCATACTTTGATTTACTCTAGCATGAGTAGGCCAATGTATTCTCAACTAAATTGACTATTGGAGTAACACAATTTCAGGTCATAATATGAATTGTTTGTCAAAGTTAAGTTTTCATTGTGCCGTTATAGCTCAAAATATACCCTTTCGTTCATAATCGAGTTCATATAAGGGGACAAATCTTGCCCATAGTGTGTGGAACCTCCACCATTTCTTTTTACTTTTGAGCGGCTGGACTGCATTGTTTTGAAACCTCTTGTTACTACTTGTTATTTCTCTCAATCTGCTCTCTCTCTTAGTTGATCACTGTTAGTATGTTTTATCTGAGTTTAACTTATTTCTCACTTTTTTCCTCTTGTGTTTTATTCTTTTGCAGGCTTCATCGCAGCAGCTGAAATTCACAACCTCTGACTCCTGCGACAGGATCAAGGATGAATTCCAGTTCCTCCAAGCACAATACCATAGGTACAAAACTAAAACACATTACACACTCAGAGACACACAAATACAAAAGAGAAGCATTTAAAATCCACTGGTGGATTAATGTATGTCTTTGTAGAAGGAAGTATATCTTGAGGCTATTTTATATACCACTTACCTTAAAATCCGGTGTATCAGACGCACTTTTAATACCACATTTTTCGTCTTAAAAGTTGGCTGCGTCTTATACACGGGTGCGACCAATGTACCAGTATGAAATACTGAAACATGCACCTTCATTACAGCGGGTGCAGCAGCCCTGATCACTGCGACCTGACGTGATTTAAAAACCCATCCCCATTCATTGTGTATTGAAAGCTGAGTGCACGCTGTGCTGGGAAAGGCGGCGACACAGACCAGGCTGGCTGCGCAACTTTTTTCACATCTTTTCTCCCTCACGAGGTCACAATCATGCATTTACAGAAAACAGTGGTATATTGTTCAATAATAAACATTGTGGAGTGCTCTTTTGATTGAAAGAGTCCTATATTAAAGTTAAAGAGTGACTAGCGGAGTCGTGCAGCGCAGCTCGCAAGCTAGGAGTCTGTGCCTCACAACTTTCCCTGCAGGCTGAGAGCTCAACTACCGTACTGTAGCTAGTAGGTGTGCAAACTCCCGAAAGTGAAAGCGAACAGAATTAAAAGAACGACACAGCTGTACAGAAAATACATGTTGTAGACACAATATAAATCGTCACGCAGTAACGCAGTTTAAGAGACCTTAAAAACAGGGTGAGTCTTGTATACCGGTGCGACTTATATTCAGTCCAGTCAAAAGAAACAAACAGTCAATCAGCTGGCTATCCAGCGCAAGCCACATGCGTAAATGGATGAGAAGGGAGGTGACTACTATAAGTCAGAGACGTCGTATTTAAGTTTCTGTTCTGCTTGTTCAACAGTTGTTTGATGTATTGATATTAAACATACATTGAGAGAGGATTTGATTTGCAATTTGAATCGTTTTTTCTTTTGGCACTCGAGATTTTCCTTTGGCGCTGGGTAAAACCTCTTTGGGGGGCGCCAAAGAATTCTCTATGCAGGAAAAACCCTGTCGTGTGATAAGGTCAGCTGTGATAAAATAAAGATGTCTACATTTGTTCCTTTGTTCCTCAACTCTATCACAACAATGCACACGGAGGAAGCATTTATTCTTGACTCATACCAAAATCAGGCTTGTTCCTGCAGCTCTCCCTTTACTGCTTACAAACAGCAACGGTGCTGGAGGCACTTCCAAAGTTCCTGGTTCGACCTCCACTGATCTGTTTGATAGCAGTTATAAAGAGAGGGGACGCCACAGGGTCTGCATCTCAGAGAGTGGAGTCTTTGAAGCCTGCCCTCCTTCATGAGGAAGTTGGTTTGTTCCTCAGTACCTGTTCTCGTAGAACCTTCCAGAGGCTTGCCTCTGCTGGTTACAGAGACAGGCAAAGGCAGATGAAAGCTTGGCAAATTGTGTGCAAAATCTCTGCTCTGGTCTGATCGCTCTTGTTTGAGGGGGGAATCTGAGGCAGACTGCACGTCTTATTCCTTGCCTTTGGTTTTTTGTAATTCCCACAATGGGAAGCAGCCACGTTTAACCCTCATCAGAGAGCCAGGGCACAGTTGAAAGAAAACCTTTTTGTCTGAGCATATGGAACATGCATACAGTGTCTATTGACTCAGGAGGGGGGCTGGAATGGGGAGGTGGGATTGGGAGCCACAGACGAGGCTTTATAGCTCAGCTGCTGCGCTCTACTTGTCTGTTGCTGAAGACTTTAAAAGGCAAATGTACCGCAGGCGTTCCCCCGGGTATAGTATCAAGCATTGTAGCTGTTGCTGTGTTCCTCTTTCCGCCCTCCTCCTCCACTTCTCCCAAGCTATTCTCCCCTCCCCTCGCTTACATGCATAAATAGATCAAGGAATACATAAATCAAAATAAAGATGACAGCAGGAGCGATTTAGAGACGGAAGAATCGGCAATAAAACTCCATCAAAGTGTCGTTTGAGAGCAGCAGTGCAGGCCCAGGGGCTGCTGAGCACCAATCAGAGGAGGCACAAAGCCAATCCCAGGTAGGCTGGCAGCAGGGAGGACGGTCGTCATGACAACCCACAACACTACCTACGCATGTACATGGGGATAGCAGGAAGGGTTTTTGTGTAGGAGGGAAGGGGAACATTTTGGATAAGTGGAGGCTGCTCATACACAAATAGGATTGGAGACAGAATAAAACATCACATTACCCCCAACAAAGAAGCATCCCCCATTCCCTGTGACTGCTGGGCAGGTTTGATATCTGTTGCATGCCAAGGCATAAGCTTCCATGATCACTCTGCACCTTGGACTGTCTGTGTCTTTACAGATTCGACATTTACCACATATCTACATTTACACATTCTTTCTAACCTTAAGGCCTCATCCAATCACCTCTTGCCTGCCTTTTTTCATCAAAACTAGTGGCTACTTCTGTTCACCATTCCTTCTCCGCATTATTGCAAGATGATAAATATACTGTATATGTATACGTCTGTGTGTGTGTGTATATATACACACACACACATGTTGGTAGTCGTCATTTAAAAAATGGTTAGCCATAACGCCAAAATATTCCGTCATTTAAAAAGTAGTTAGCCATAACGCCAAAATATTCCAAAACAAGTATTCTTCTCAAGTGTTCTCATGTAAAGCTCAAAATCCCTCTGCTTGTTTACTTTTTTTTTATTGTTCTATAGGGATGAAGCATTGGGAGAAAACATGCACATTACTACAAAGTGATCTCCTTGTTGTCAGCTGCAAAAAAAACAAAACAGAATAATCGTAAAGGATAGCCTTCAGAGTCTACGATTAAGTATTCCGTATGTTTAACAACACTTGTTTCATTCCTCCATTGACAAGTCATGTCTGGCAATCAAGTCAGAAAAAGCATTACACATTAAAAACAATGATGTCACCACTTTTAAAAACATATTTTATCTATAACTACCTCCAGATTAGATATAGCATGCTTTGAGATTGTTACATATTTTAACTTTGTACCGTGTCCTAACAGCATGCAATGCAAGCGCTCGCCGGCGACAAAATGAGCTTGATTCAACTGTTTTCTATTTGAATTGTTTTTACCCCGACGCTCCGTTTCTATTTTCATTCCTGTCGCTTGTGTAGACATGGGCGAGGAAGGAGGGGGCTCTACAAGGCACAGGCTGTGTCTAACGGGAACAAATTTTTCATTCAACAGAGCTTGTTAGTATGTTTTACAAAGTGAAGATAGTGATGCATTATTAACATCCACATCTGTGATTGAAATGTTTTGCTTTGACTGTTACGTGATAGCTTACGCTCGCGTGCTCTTAGGACATTGTGTTCGTGTATTGCAAGTAAGATTATCTCATGATATGGGAGTTTTCTTTAAACAGGATTTGTCCATTCCTTAAAAATATAAACACACCTTATTCTTATCTTGGTAACGTTGCAAAAATCAGGCACATCCTGTCTTTAAAAGATGCTGAGACCCCTCAAATATCAAATAACATGAAAAAGGTTGTTTCTTGTTATGTCTATCAATAACAAACTAACAGTACAGAAACCCCGTCTAACACTGCTGCTGTGATAATAATAAAGAAGAAGCCCAATACTGTGTATGAGTAAGCTCACATTATTGGCCCTGTATTACACAGAGTTCAGTCTGCCAGTTAAGACTAACACCAACGAAGATTCAGCCAGCACACGCTGTAATCGAGCTGTCACTCTAGCAGACAGCAGAAAAGAACATCCCAGCATAAATATACACACACCGTCAAACAGGTTTCAGACTTATCCTTAATCTGAAACTATCCACAGTGTGCCTGTGCATATCTTTATTTGATCTGAGTCTTATCCAGTCCTCGCATCGGATGATGCCTCCTGAGACGACACGATGGAACTGACTGCTTCAGTCAAACGCACCGAAGGGGAATCTCTTACCCCTCAACCCACCCACTGTCTTTTCCATTTGATGATCTGGTTGACATGTCCTCCTTTGTCCTGTCGCCTCGCGTGACATCAACACTGACATGATTGCAACTAATAGCTGTCGCACGGACTGGGTCAGAAGAAAAGCTCCATCACTATATTTAGACTTTTTCTGCACTGCCTCTTCTGATTTAGAAAGCAGACAATTTGGCATATATCTGGAGTTTAGGATGACTTTGACCTCCTTCAGTCAATTGACACCTCGTCAAAAAACTGCCACTAATAAAAGGTGAGCTTGATGGCAGTAGCAGTGATGATGATGATGATGATGATGGAGGTTGTGATGACGACGATAAAGAAGATAATGGTAGCAGAAGTGATGACAATGGAGATGATGCTGTTGATGATGAAGGTGGAGGCAGTGGTAAGGGCTGAAGTGGGGGTGAAAGTGATGACAGTGCCTTTGGTGAAAGTGGAGGTAATGATGATGAAGGGGGTAGAAGTCACATGGTGTCAGCACTTTAGAAGGAGGACTGTCAAGCTGACTAACAAGGTCTGACTCAGTGCTCCTCTTCTTTCTCTCTCTCCTCAGTTTGAAGCTTGAGTGTGACAAGTTGGCCAGTGAGAAGTCGGAGATGCAGCGCCATTATATCATGGTGAGTGAAATTATCTGATGTAATATTTGTTTCTTTTTGTAAATGATCTTTTTGTTTTTGAGAAACGAAAGAATGCAAATGTTCAAAATCATATATGAAAAGTATGAACTGCTGTTGTTCTTTACCCTCTCTGTGCCCACTCAACCACCTCGGTCTCATGGAAGTGCAGATAGTCCCTAAAGTCTCATACTCATTTTAAAATGTTCTCTTAATTATGTTGTTCAGAGGTTTGAAATCTGTTCGTTTTCCGAACATTTTACACAACAAGAAAAAATATACACTGAACCCTCTATCTGTTCAGTAGTTATACTTGTTATAAAACAACACCAAAGGTTTAAAAAATTAGGTTGAAAATCTGGATCAAAACTGGCTATGGATGACACAATAGAGAATGAAGCATTGTTTTTAGGCTTATGCATCAGTCAGCTTTGTAACAAACCTTTCATTCATGTTTTTAGATTGATTATTTGCTAATTCAAACATAAATAATAACCCGCCTCGTCAGTGTCTGGATGACTTAGAAAACTAAAAATAGAGAAGATTATTATGAACTTATTTCTATCTGAAGTATTTTAGGGATGAATATTCACACATTAAGACCCCCTTTATCTGTTTGTCTGTCACAAATGATTAGAAATGTGAAATAATGGATATTAAAAATGTGAGAATTCAACCAATTTAATATGCATCTATACCCTCCCTCTTATACCTAGATCGTCAAAATGAAATAATTGAAAATAGACCTTGTTTGTTCACTTCTTTTGTGTTTCTGTAGGAGCGATATATGTCACTCATCTCTGCATAAACCCTTTATTTCCTCTACCTCCTTACATGTTCACATTCATATGCACACATGCACATGCCCATTGCCCATACTTTGTGCATGCCCGCTCTCTGCTCCACCTTAGGGCTAATCTCATTGTTGCTGGCCGTGGCTGTGTAGCCGTCTGATGTTTTGCCTCTAATTGATCCTCTGACTGGCTTTAATCTCATTTAATCTGTGCCGCCGCACTGCTCTCTCCACCATCAGTCAGCAGGCACTCACACACACACACACACACACACACTTCCTCTCTATTTATTTCAGGACAGCAAGAGTGCTGACAATTACACACATACACACACACATACACACACACAAAATCACTCAGACATTGGCTGAAAGCAGCTGTAGTGTACACACACATAAACACACATTTTGACAAAGAAGCAGAACCTGCAAATGTATCATGAAAAAAAAAAAGAGCCTAATGTTTAAAATGTAGAAAGGCCTATTACGGTGTTTTTACAATATCTAGCTTCTGAAATGTTTTACTTATTGCTTTTGTATGTTGTATTTACTTCTGTGACATCTACATCAAAATATCCAGATTAAGGTCGAAGTTTTACAAGGCATTTACAAACTTTCCCAGTTACTAAAGTTTATAAGAGATTTTGAACGCCAGGAAGTAAGTGTGTGTGAGCTTATCGGCTGGTTTCGTAATAATACCACATGATATATATCACTACACCAGTCTGCACCAACCCCGTTACCATAATTAGTTTACCCTCCAAAAAGGACATGTTTCTTCTTCTCCAACACAGTAACCTAGACGGCAGTTATTTTTCCGTTACTATTCTGCATTATAAAACAAATAGTGTGGAAGCAGAGCAAGAATTGCCTTTATATATATATATATATATATATATATAGGTGTACCAGAACAGGCCATCCAACCTGTACCAGTGCAACTCACAATGGTGAGTCAGAGCTTTGTTATGAACCTTAAGGGCGCATGGTAGGCTGTATCAACCATATGGAGACTCTGAGCAGAGGTGTGCATGTACAAAAGATCACCATAGAACAAAACAGGTAAAACATTTTTAGACTATGGTGATATTTTGTACATGATGCACGTCATAAGTGTAAATTTCCCTGCCTACTTTTTGTTCTCTGTTAATGCTGTGTAGGTTTACTCTTTGTTATCAAGACAAAATAACGGCAGCTGCTCTGGTATTCAAACCTGATGCCAGTTTGCCAGTTTGAAAACATGCTGGCTGTGAACTGAATTGTAAAAAGTAGATCCAAATTTTGGACAACATTTCAAAACATACACCAGAACACTGCTTAGTAAAAAAAAAAGAACTGATTGTAAATTCCTAAATTAAAGATAAGTTGCATGTTGTTTGCTCTCTAAAGAAACAACTACCTGCAGCATGGTTGCCATTTCAACATCTCTGTGGTCACCTGTAAGGTTGAGAAGATCACTGAGGCATTGGAGGCAACACAAGTGAAGGGCACATGAATAAATCTGAAACATAATTGAGAATAATGCAATGTACTCAGGATTTTATTCAAAGTTAATTGTCTCTGTTCTAATTGTGATTTCAAACCGAGTATATTTACTTCATTTTTGATTAAACTGTGACTCCTCTTATAGCATCAAATCTCTATATTTTCCTCTGGACTTGAAATTAATTTTTCACAATTTAATCCTTCAAATTGAGTGCAAATGTTGAGATAAAACTGAACTATCATTGCAATATTGCTTGTGGCTCCTTCTATACTTGCTCACTCTTACACAAACACAACCAGATGCAAATGCACACCAAGCATCTACGCGCACGGGCTTTCAATCGCACTTCCACTCAATCAGTGGCAGACCCAGCCTTGTACACCCCCACCCCCACCGCCAACCCTCCACCCATACACACAAACGCACACAAACTCACACTCCTCTAATAGCATATCAGGTTGCCCCACTCCCCTGGCCAGCGGCAGCACCTCCATTTCCCCAGCGCTGTAATTACTTTAGGGAGCTTGCACAGTTACAGAAGAGGCGTGCGTGTGTTTGCATGTGCACATGCATTCACTAACATGGCAGTGTTAGCACGTGATTCAACGGAAAACAACAATGTTTGTGTGTGAGTGCAACAAAGCAAGAGACAGAAGTGTGTTTGTGTGTAGGAGTGTGCAAAATTCTGTGTGAGGGATCTGTGTGTTGTTTGTTTTCCAGTGACAGAGCCAGTCCCCCTGCAGACAGAGTGGGTGATTAACAGGGTTGACGCCTGGAGGGTGGCCCTCTCATTAACACTGAACACACACTCAAACACTCAAACACACACACACACACACACACACACACACACACACACACACACACACACACACTCTCACACAAAACAGAGACTCTTTCTCTACCATCTCTCCTTTTCTCTCTCAGTTCCTTTTCCTCCTTGTAAATGTTTGCCTTTACTTTTTTTTGTATGTGTGCATGCAGGTACGTTTGTCTGTGTGTCTTGTGCTGGGATTACATTCATTGGTAGATTAAAATCTGGAATCTCAGCCGTCTCTATGATATTGAAAATGAGTCATGCAGGTTTGAAGGTCTGCTGGGTGTTGGAAGATGATGTATTTCATTTTCAACCTTTTATTACCTAGAATGTTAGCTTCAATCGTTCACATTGTTGTATTTCTAGTGTGCCATAAGCACTTATCACTTCTTTAGATCCAGTGGAGAGAACGATTGTTTTTCATCTGAGATCTCATATGTTTATTAAAACGGCTAATGAATACACTCAATTTGATTGTATTAATTAACATCACTGAGCAATAATTAAATCTGACTTATCCAAATGTGTAGCACATACTCAGTCAGGGGTGTAAAATGAAGTGTACGCACAAAGCTGATGACTGTTTTTCTTCTCTCTTTCTTTTCAGTACTATGAGATGTCCTACGGGCTCAATATTGAAATGCACAAACAGGTGAGTCCACCTTTATTTCAGACCAAAAAGACTCTTGTTATCTGAAAGAACAATAATATTGTTCAGTCAACCCTCACAACAGTTGACTCTTAAGCCCTTTTCACACATAAAGAAATCTCCTGAAAAACTCTGGAGATTTGGCTACCCAGAGGGACTTTAGGCTGTGTGTGAACGCAAACAGCCGCATTTTTCACGTGGACTTTACCCAGAGTTTCTCCAGCCAGACCCCTAGTATTTTAGCCGCAGAAAGTCCGAGTGAGCTGATGTCTGAACGCGGCCGCATATACTCCGGAGATTTCAACTCGAGCCAATGGGAAGAGAATGACGTTTATATACAGTGACTACCTAAAGTGTCTGTACATGACCTCTACGATCTCCATGCACGTAATTAAACGGCTGCATTATGTTTTCTGTTCGTCAGTATGTTGTTCTCCTCTCTTTTGTGGATGTTGTCATTCCATTGGATTACACATAGCATTGATATAAAGGCAAATATTCTCATTATAGCGTCATGTAGCGGACTCTGTTGCTATGGCTGCTACTTCCGCGTTGTTTATTTACGTCACGTCTTTCCTCTGCAAATCCCCCGACCCCCCTCCCCTCTGACAGGGAGGGGGGTCGCTGTGAGGAGCATATGTGAACGGCTAGGTCGGGAGAATCTCCGGAGAAGTCCTCCTGTAAATATCTAGATATTATCTGGAGTGCATATGTGAAAAGGCTTTAGAGAGGTATAGGTCTGGAGGTCCTAGGTCTGTGGAGCTAGGTGAGAATAATGACCTTTGCTGGCTCCTGTTGTCGTTGTGTTTAACACGGTTGGTTTGTAATCGTTGTTTTAGACTATAAAGTGTATAATTCTCTTTCACAGTATTCCCAAGACTAACGTCTACATGTCTATTGTATGAAGCATGTTCATTACTCAGCACAGATTTTGCTGTTGGTAGGGAGAGGCCAAAGATAATTAATAGTTTTTCACAAAATAGTTTGGAAATTCTGCACAAAGTTTCGTCATTGCTTAATTCTCCCACAAACCTGACCTTATGGTGTTGGTTTATCAGCATTTTATTTGACATCCAATAAAGACAACAGCAAGATTCAAGAACTTGGGCTTCAGCTATTTCTAATACATTATGTTGCAATCACCACCAGAGCACTACACAAAGTTTGTTAAATTCAAGTAATAGTAGAAAACTGAAATCAGTTGTATTTATTTTGATGGTTGGAAAGAAGGCTTAGAGTCTACATATATTTAATCACTCATCACATTTGATTTTGTTTGTGCCCCAGCTGTCAGTCAACTATAATCATCTATGCACAAAGAATAGACTTTCTTGCTGAACCTTGAGCAGTAAAAGTCACTCCTCACACTGTCTTCCTCTGTAGATGTAGACACAGCTGTGCATGCCCAAGCCCATTCCACCACTGTACACCTGCAGCTCACTGATTGGCAGGTGTGAATTGCAGAGATAATCTCCAATCACTTTGGGAGTGTTGAGAGACATTTGAAAGATGCGACCTGAGGCTGTGTTTATTTAAACCCAGAGAGCTTTGGGTTTTTTTCTCCAGCTGTTGTAATTGCAGTTTGAGCTCTTTCTGTGTATTGTACACTAATCCTGAACAATATTTTTCAACATTGATGTTGCAAAATTTGGGCACATGAAAGAGTCCCATTTCCAAGCATGTAACGTCAAAGTATGGCAATTTAACTGTCAGGTTTTATTTTACTACTTCATCTAGCCTTGATCCTCGATGATGTCACATAGTTACATGATTCATATTAGTGCATGTATTTTCCCTAATCGGAGGGGCTGACGCTGCTTACATTGCTCAGAATATCTCTGGAACCAAACAACAGATTTTTGCCGGGACAATTGCTTTGGAAGGCTACCTTTTTACCGATCTGAGGAGGGTTTCCATGTAATCAAAGCCGTTCCAGAAGGTTTTTAATCCAGCCCTGAAGTGCAGAGTTTATTCTGGTCCTTTACAAAATACATTGACAATGATAAATCTGTGATCATGTGATTACTTGTTTTCATGATGAAAACGTATCGTTGTTAGCGTACCTCAATTTACACTCTCAGGAGGAAATGACAGGAACTTCCGGTCAGTCGAATCTGATGCTCTCTTCTTCTCTTGTTTCTCGGCGGTGAGCATCTGTCGAGGAGCAGCCAACAACAAGAGACAAGATAGTTATCTGCCACCCTCAAAAAGAAATAAGTAATTGCCACGGCTGAAATAAAGACAAACGGTTACACAGAGCCTTCAACTACATATGAGCAAGAGCTTTACACGCAGAGAGCATTACATGACAGGGGCCTAGGGCGCATGTGGAGTTTGTTTGCATGTTGTATTTACTTCTGATAGAGAAGACTTAAATGAATTAGAAGAGGAAAGGCGCGGTTATTGTTGATTTGTGTGTGATATGAGTAAACTGTGTAATTCAGTTTCCGTTTTTTATTCTGTCTTTATGGTCATATAATTATTCATACATTTATCTGACATCATTGCCTTAAAAAAGATGGTAAGATTGTGCTTGAAAGGCTTGAGGTTATATATAAATTATTAGACAAAAAATGCCTTGGATCTTTAAGGTTTCAAACTGAGCGTATATACGCAGACTGTATGTGGTGGAATGGATCCTTCTAGCAGCTACACCTTCTGGAAGTTTGAAATGTGACTTGACAGGTAAAACAAGGCAGTGAGCTTATGTTTTAAAACGTCTTGGGCTGGTTCCATACAACACAAATACAACTTCTACAAACCAGATATATATTTGGTATATTCGTGGTAAACAGAAAAATCTATAATTATTCTTGAGTTTTTAAGTCGATCAAGCAAACATTTAAACAAGCATTAGGATAGTTTGACATTTAAAGTCACAGGTAAATCACAAAACTGCAACACTGAATACCTCGTGTAGAGTTCATTATTTTTAATTTTCATTTATCACCTGTTATTTAAAACAAGTGAATTAAAAGAAAGAGGGTTTTTTTTTTGTTAGACGAGGACAAACTTCTAGAGAGCTTTAATGATTAAAGTTCAATTGAAAACTATACAACTGTACAAGAATAACAGACTGCATTTGTCCTGTGAAGCTTTTTCTATATTCTTGTATTTCAATATTTAGATATTACGTAGTAGTGTGATTTAGAGCATTTATGTGGCAGCAAATGCGTGTTCTGAAAGTTGTGCAAAAAGCCAGGAAATCATACCTGCAACATCCCACATTTCAAACCAGTGCAGACTGTGCAGTCAGAATCAGAAGGCCATTTTGAAAAAGAAAAGAAAAGGAAGCCATTGTTCAGGAAGGGAGGGGGGGAGAGAGCAATACCCATACATCAGTTTGTGTGGCTGAAGCTGGGGGATAATTTATGCTCAGCCTTTTTGAGGGAGAGAGCGATGGGTCTCGAAAGGACCAGCCCTTATCTGTGACCTCGTCTGGCACAGCCAGTCCACACACACACACCAACACACACGCATACCATTATGATTGACGGCGCACACTGACAGTCATATTGGGAGAAGCGAGTATGCTTTGACAAATGGACACACAGACACACACACACACATAGATGTAGCAGCTTCTATGATTTAAAGACCTTCTCATTTATGCGCCCACACAAACTGTGAGGTAGTACGCACGTTAGAGAAACACACACGCACACACACACACACTCACAATGTCCCAGGGAAGCAATGACACACACAGATGCTGAGCCGTATGTGTGCTGCTCATCTCCCCCCCCATTTCCTTTATCTGACAGGGATGAAATTCACAGTCACGATTGCAGTCGTGTGCTTGAGTGGGTGTGTGTGTTTTGTGTGTCCAGAAGTCTGTCTGTGTTTGTGTTATAGATGCTCATTTACTTTCTACTGGCAGTCTGCAATTTGTCTGTTTTTATATGTATGTGGATTTAGATTACCTGCCTGAACATTTTCTGTAAATGTAGCCGTGTAGCAGCAGATATGGTGGTGTGTGTGTGCTTGTGTTTTTGTGTGTCTTAGCACATGTTCATAAGCATTTGTGTGTGTCCTGTGTGTGCGCTCTCTCTTTGTGCACATCAAGAGTGGGTGCAGAGAGTCGCTAGTTCTATTAGAGAGTTGAAATTGAAGGGGATGTGTGGAAACCAGTGTCGAGGAGCATTCATGTCTAGGCCCATTGTGCACTGCCAATCGCGCCTCCTCCTCTTCCTCCCTCTCCACCTCTGTCTCTATTTCCCTCTCTTTCTCTCTTTCTCTTTCTCACACTCTCCCACATTCAATTGCTCCCTCTTGATCACTCTGTTCTACTCAATTCACAAATGCGTCTCTGTTCTCTGTCTGTTCCATCTCTTGTCTCTCCTCTTTCTTCCTGTGTTTTATCTGTTTTGTCTTTTTGTGAGGAGAAGCAAGGTTGAGCTCTGGGTTGTGCTGAGAATATGTTGAAAGAAGCTTTATTATAGCCGGGTCCTCCTTTTCTTTCTATTGTTGTCTATTGTCTCGTCTATATTTACTGTTGAATGAATGTTCTGCCTGACTATATACAGTCTTTTATGTATCTGGCTTTTTCTCTTAGGAGCTCCTCTTTTGTGTCTGAATTGTTTTCATTGTCCTGTCTATTATTTTTCATCATTCACAATCAATGTAAAAGCCAGTTTACAATAATGCATTTCTGTTTGCTGCTTTTCTTTGTCTAATGTGATAGTAAAGTGTCATCTGTGGGTTAGAAAACAAACCAGAGCCAAGCAGCAGATTTTTAGACTTCTCTCCAAGTGAAGCTCATCAAATGTTTTTATGTTAAATCTCAATATGCATTTCCCCTACATGTTTCCATGACAGTTTTCACGTAAATGAGTTTTTGAACCACTTTAACTGTATTTCTGGTGTCTAGTTAAGCCATGAGGGTTTGGCCCTTTGTGTGTATGACACCTAGATAAAACACAATCAAGTATCACATTTAGTTTTTGAGCGTTGATTATTTATTAAGTACTCATTGACAGTTGTGTTTGAACCTGAGAAAACAATTTTTACTATTTGATACAACATTTTGATACAAAATTTTAGATTGTAACAAAGAGCGACTGTGACATGATTCAAATTCACTTTCTTTAGCCGTTTTCACATATTCACTCCTGAAAATATCTAGATCATTTCAGGAGGACTGCTCCTTAAATTCCCCTGACCTGGCTGTTCACATTTGCACCTCGCAGTTGAGAGCAACAGAGTCGGCTTTTTGATGCTGTAATTGGAATATCTGCCTTTATATCAATGCTCTGCGTACTTCAACGGAATCAAAATATCAACAACAGAGCGCAGAAAAACAAACTGGAGAGTAGAAAAAATAATTAAGCTGTTAAATTATGCACAGAGATCATGGGTGTCGTGTGCATACATACAGTCAATGCACCGTGCTCTGGTCACAGAATATAAACCTCACCACCCTCTCCCACTCACTTGAGGTTAATTCTCCGGATTATATCCTGGTGTGTTCTCATATCAGCTCACTCTTACTTTATGCAGAAAAATACTAGGGGGCTGGCAGGAGAAACTCCCTGGATAAAGTCCCAAGTGAAAAATGTGGCTATTTACATTCACACATGCAACTCCTCGTGTAAATATCTGTTTTTCAGGAGTTTTCTGCAAGCGTGAAAGCCTTGTATGAAAGTTTAGGGAAGGGTATTATGTTTTGTTTTCAGTCCTTCTTTAGTTTAAATAACAAAACACTGCACAAGTATCATGTCCTGTTGTGTTTCTGACAGGAAGCAGTAACATAAGACTGTCCCTAAGGGACAAAAGCAGGACACTCTGAGGAAGTCTGTGAAATGTTTCATTGGTTAAGGCTGCCTTCCATGCTTCTTTAAAACAAGTTTTAAATCAACTTGAACACATTTGTCTCTGAGCTCGCTTCCCCGTTTGATTATTTAGATCAAGCTTATTTTATTTGGCAAAAAGCAGAAAAGACATCTCCAACAGCAACTAATTCAGTCCTTTGCAGGTCATTAATGTATATCTGATGTTGTATTGTATTATGTAAGTTTTATTTGCACACTTGCAGTGTTCTTTATTATTAAATTATTTTTCCAGTAGCACGTGAGAAGCTAGAAAGACAGAGTAAAATGTAAAGGCAGGACAAAAAGGGAGACACATAGAGAAGGATAATGGAGAGCAGATGACAGATGCTAGGTTAGAAAAAGAAGACAGCATAAAGGGCACTGAAAAGAGGAAGAGCCGTAGTTAGCATGGAGCAAGTCCCACAGGGGACATTTTAGAGAGACATTTTAGAGATGTCAGGGAGTGTGTGTGCGTGTGTGTGTGTGTGTGTGTGTGTGTGTGTGTGTAATGATGAGCAGATAGGAGGGAAGCGCTTGATGGGGAGCTGTGCTCTGCATGCCTAATGACTGTTAGAGGGCCCCTCGCTCCTCAACGTGCCACGAATTACGCTCTAACACAATTACTGCTGCTTTGCATATCTCAGACGGATTGGATGATTACCAACCAAATGTGATAATAGACCTGAATGTGAGAAAGATAGGGAATGTGCATGATGAGGAAGAGGAAAAGGTGCCCGTGAGTGTGTTCTTGCTTGCGTAGGTGATAGTTGCCCATGTATATATATATGTGTGTAACATTGTGCATGTCGAGCTGTTTTGACGCCCTAAGTTGAAGCAAAGGGGTAAAAAAGGGAGTCTGATATGTGTGAGATGTGAGTGGTTGAGACAAGTCCATGTGTGACTCTTTATGAAGGACACATTAGATGTTTCTCATACAAATGAATGTGTTCTTGAATTTACACTTTCATTATAATTATAGGAATATGTCTTGTGATATACTACATTTTCTCCCAGTCAACGATTTCCAGAACAGCAAAAAAAAAATGTTTTTCCACATATAGATTTTTATGTAAGAAAGCTGTGATGTTGTGCTCTCAACCTGACTGACGCAGTCTGCATGAAATGGGGTGGTTCCAACTCAATTTCCATTTGACTCACAAAACAGCACAAATGTCAGTCATGTTGTGTATCAATATCTCTTTGTGACTTCTAGTGTAAATTCAGCATCATAGACAGTTCAGAGGTATAAACATATTTTGCGACTTGATTTGTCTTGCTGTTAGGAGGTTAGCGCCATGCTGGCACAACAGTTTGTGATAACTGCTAAAATAATAGTGCCTAGCGGTTAGCTGGCGCCCCATTTAAGAGGCTATAGTTCTCCTAGCGGACGGCCTGGGTTCAAGTCCAGCCTGTGGCTCCTTTCCTGCGTGTCGTTCCCCACTCTCTATCCACTGTTTCCTACTCTATCCATTGTCCAATCAAATAAAGGCCCTGCTGCTGAAATAGTCACTTGAACCCAGATTGTGAATTCATCCACGTCTGACAATAGTTCCACCAATGAGTGTTGGATGCAGAGCAGAATTGAGCCTTTACTCTCGCATACAACCCAATCAGATTTTCTGCACATGCTCCACAGTTCCCATGTAGGACTTTTACCTGGAAGTTAAACGGCAAGAACATGTAGCACAAGGGAAGTTGTGTTGTCGTCTGCCTTAGGATATCACCATAAGCTAGAGGGATAGCGTGTACCAAAAGTAAAGTGTAGACTATGTAAAAAAAAGAAATGTACCGTGCCGCAAAATGTTTTCACGGCTCGACATTCAACCAGTTTGCCCCTTGCTAACATGTAAGCAAGGTCAACCGGAAGAAGGTCCAATAGTGACTACCTAAAGGTGCCATATCAACACTTTACGTAGCGGATTCGTACATACTACCACAATAAATCCATTATCCCCTGGTGCTCGTATACTGGGACAAGGACAGTAGTCCAATTAAACGGCCTAATGGAGCTATAACTGTAGCTCAACTTAACTGTTGATGTAAACGTACTGACTAACATTGGGTTTGCTCTTTCCAGGCATTTGTAACAGAAGTTTATATTTACACCAGTATTCAATCTTTAAATGTATTAATTAAAGTGGTCCTTCCACAGGCTGAGATAGTGAAGAGACTGAACGGGATCTGTGCACAAGTCCTCCCCTACCTGTCTCAGGAGGTAAGCTCACACAAAGACACACACACACACACACACACACACACACACACACACAGACGTCACTAACCCTTTGACCCTCAGACCTATTTCTTACATCCTGGAATGAGATCACCCTTCCATTCCCGGCTCATTACCTCTCCACCTCCATGACCCCTCGCTCAGCATCCCTCCTCCACTTCACTCCTTCTCCACCTCTGTCCTCCCAACGTTCATCATCACTCGCTTCCCGTGTTCCTTACCACCTCACTTTCGCTGTACTTCCCCCTCACTCTCCTCCCCCATTCAATCTGTCCCTCCAGGTTTCCCTCCTTCAGACCCTTTTGAACTCCTCCTCAAATCCCCTCCTTCCCTTTATCACTCCCTCCTCAACCTCCTCCATCCTTCTCCTCTCTTCCTTTGTACATGTTTGTGTGTGCGTGTGTGCGTCAGCGTAATAAATGGTTGTGTGATTCAGATAAGCCATGATCTTATCTGCCCACCAGGACGTCGACCTCCACCTATTACAGCACACCAGCCAACCATCCATTCACCGGTGTCACACAAAGCTTTTCTGAATGTGTGTGCGGGGTGTGTGTGTGTGGTGTGTCTATATATATGACTGGAAGAATAAATGAATGGCTGGAGGGAGGGCTGCATCACCAGTGAAGGTTGTCGGGTCTCTGTTGGGACTATCGATATTGATCTAACCTCTCCACCTCTCTCCCCCCAAACTCTCCTCCCCTTGTTTCTGTCTTGCTTTTATTGTCCATCTCACTCCCCCCCCCCTCGTCTTCACTCCCTCCCACTCCTGACCTCCCCCCCATCCCCCGTCTCAAGCACCAGCAGCAGGTCCTGGCAGCCATAGAGAGGGCCAAGCAGGTCACACCCCCAGAGATGAACTCCATCATAAGGGTATGATGGTCTTGTGATGGCCAAAAAGTGCAATTATTAATAATCATGATGAATTTGTTCTTTGTTTTTTTTAGGGGGGGAAGGGGAGGGGGCTTTTTATTGAATCTTTTTAAGACTGTGCTTGGAAACTAATTGGACAATTAAGGAAGTAAAAAGCTTCAGTCATTTTTGAAAGAATAATGTCCATTTAGTCAATCCTTCTTATTAATCATATACTTTTAAATATGAACAGAATAAAGATGAGAATGCAATCCATTACAACAGTGCTGAAATAAATACCAGATAATAAAATGAATATTTGAATAATTATTTCTTAATTTATTTTTGACTCCCATCTTAAGGATAAATATGATAGTCTATGCTCCACTTAGCCACAGTTTTGATAATAAGAAATGAATGATTAGCTCGCTTAAATAGCTTCTTATTAAGCCTGGATATTAAAAATGTAACATAAATATTGGATCAGAAGTAATTCTCGCCAACAAGCCACAATCCTTTAGCTTTGTGGCTTAAATGTTAGAAGGATACACTTTATCATAAGCTTTGCACTAACATAGCTTAGCTCCTCCATCATTTCAACAGAGGTTTAGTATTAGCCTGACGAGCCCCTCCATCATTTTCCTATGGGTCTTGTGTTAGCTAGCTTAGCCACTCCATCACTGTGATGCATGATTCAAAGAGGTGCTTTGCCTTTGTCTATGTGTCTGCTGCTTTCGATACTGAGGATACTGGGCTGCTCATGGTCTGCTTATAGAATTGGACCTCTTCTATTTAGTACAGAGAACCCTCTGACATTCCTTCATTTTTTGTTTTTGTATAGATGAACACAACGAAAATGAAAAGCATTGGCAGGCACAATATGTCTTCCTTACATTTTAATGACATGAAGGTCTTTGGTTTTGTATTTTTATGTTTGATTGAGCCCCAAGCCTGTCCTCAGTGAGACACTTTCTCGTCTCTTCTGTATTCTCCTCTCTTACTTGCTTTCCTGAGATTGTATACATTGAAAATTGAATCTGGAATAAATAAGTTGTGTGCTGCAGCGTTTTCACTTCTTACAGAGCATGTATTTTATCTATGATGCATACATTTCATCAATCCCTTTTGTGCTAGAGCTATTAGTGCTGTACCTCAGGGTCTCATATTAAACATCATTTGTGATCTATAATTGCTTTGTGCATTGCAGATTCCGTATTTCCCTCTGTGTTTTGCAGTAATTTGTGTGCTGTTTCCACCCTGCTGTGTCTAAGTTGTGTGTGGTTGTCTTCCATGCAGCAGCAGCTTCAGGCTCACCAGCTGTCCCAGCTCCAGGGCCTGGCCCTGCCCATGACCCCTCTGCCGCTGGGTCTGAGCCAGCCGGCCCTTCCTGCCGTCACCACCTCCTCCGGTCTCTTCTCCCTCTCCTCCCTGCTGGCCTCCCAAGCCCAGCTGGCCAAGGAGGAAAAGGCATCACGCGACGGAGTAGACAGCCACCGGGAGGAGGACGGAGACAAGTCCGATTAGATGGTGTACCCCTTCAGCTCTGCTTTTATCCAGAGACCTGAATCCCAAGATCTGATTCTCCTTTTGGCCTAGAGCCTCTCCCCTGGTCTTCTTCTTCTGACTGAAGCTAACTTGAGCTTCATTCTTGTCACCAATACTCCAGCTACAGACCCCAAACCAACTCCTGTTATTGGGAGAGCTTTGACACCATCTCCTCATATCAGACTAGTCCTGATCTCTTCATATCTACTTTACCTGCTTTGTGTCTTTTACCCAGCAGGGTGACTGCCTCTTATGCTTCCTGGTTCTTTTCTTCATGCACTGTCTCTTTTTTATATGATTAGGCTTCAGTTTTTTGCATGTTCTTTTGTTTTGTTTTGTTTTTTTAAATCAGGAGTACTTTCTATTTCTGTCCTTCCCCCCCCCCCCCCTTACGTTTCTTGTTCAATAAGCTTCTATTCTACCTTATGTCCCCCACCTCTTCACCCCCTCTCATCCAGGACTCATGTTACACACCACACCATAGGTGTTGTAACAGGCTAAATGTTAAACTAGAGAATATTTTGGTGAGGTGTAGAAGTTTTCAGGCACAAAACAAGAGTCCTACAAAAACTTCATTATCCTGCAGGGCCCAGTGTTGCTGATATTTTTGCAATCCAGATTACATGCATTCATTTGAAGACATAATTTGGCTTTGAGTTAAAACAGTGGTTTGATATGGATAAAAAAAAAGTGAAATTGATTCCCTCATGTCCTGCGTAAAGATAAAAAACATCCTTGAAGCTTCACACACACACACACACACATCCTAACCAAAAACTGCTGCGTTTAGAGCAGAAACATTGTTATAAGAAGACCTCTCCAGTTGACAAACTAGAGACGTTGTGTATAATCCTACATTCATACGTGGAAAGAAAAAGCACCTTCTTAGAGCAAGCTTCATGCCGTGTCAGACTAGATATTAGACCCACCTTAGTCAGTAATCCTGATCCTCACCTGATCCTCTGAAGTATGTGTGATTAAATCCAGCCCAGAACCTTTGCTGACAGACAACATTTTCATCAGCAGCTAAATGAGCAGAGCTGACACTTGACTCCTGCTTCCTCCCACCACTTTTTTTTTTTGTCTTTGTATGTGCACTGATATGAGAGCAGGCACAGAGGGGAGAGAGTGTGCATGTTGTGTGTTGACAGCAGAGGGCAGTGTGTGTCCTCGTTCGATTCAGGCCTGAGCAGTGCAGGGACACGCACAGAGTACAGGCTGTGTCACAAAGGAAAAGGCGCATTCATTCACTGTGTGTGTGTACAAACGTCATATACAAAGACTAGTCCAGCCAGACATTATCCTCTGCATGCAGTCAGACTGTGTCATGATCCAGTTCTTGAGGAATATCGTCTTTTGGTCTATTTAAGGAAGCATTGAAGAGAAACACAACTGGACCCATGCTTTCAATCCCTCTGTACGTTCAGATTTAAATACTTTACATATGAAGGCCCGTCACATATCCCACTACTTATTATAGATGGTTTCCCACCTACAGACATCACAGAGTAGGAAATCTCGAAATCAAAGCGTCCATCTCACAAATGAAGCACAAACCGGAGCTACTCCCATGAGTAAAAGCTCCCCTCAGGCTCACATGCCCTGCACACTTACTCGGGTGTTTTCAGTTTGTCTGATTGGGCCTCTTGTCAGGTGAAACTATAATGGAAATAATCTAGCGTCAACAAACTCAAGAATTTTGTTCCCTCATTAGTTCAAATATGTACTGTATAATAGCAGCATCCGCACACTGAATCCAGCAGCGGATTATGGTTGCCGGCTAATGCCCCTTTTAATTACTTGGGGTTTTAATTACTTAATGAATAACTGTGGCTGGCGTGAGGCATCCATGTTCATTTGGCTTTCAGGCAATCCCATATATCAAAGCTTTCCCAGTTTCCCTGTATGGGAAAGCTCTGATTTCCCAGTACTAATTACTGCTTGAAGTGTGAGGAAGATGTTAGGAAAGCAAGGATTAGAGTCGCCCCCAGAGTCCTAAGAAGAGGTTAGATCAGTCCAACATTAGTGAAAACACGTGTGTGGACTCAGGAGCTCTAGCAAGTGTAGTAGCAGCTTTAATGGCCCCTTTAAATATCCTTTTCTACACATTCAGTCAACATTTTTAGGTTGTTTTCTCAACAATACATACCTACAAATGTCAGTAGTGGTGATTTAAATGTCTTAAATGGCTGCCACTCTCCATCGACACATAACATTTGATGTTTCGGTCAGTCTGAGTGTTAGTTTAAAGAGCACTACCACGGTGTGCGTGTAAGCATCTGAACAATAATTTCATTTGTGTACTTTCAGTAACTAAAACACACTATTCTGCTTATCACTTAAGGTAGCAGCACATGGATCTTCCCGTCTAGCCACAGACTGTATGTAACCAGCTACATACTGTTCTTGTTTTAGTGATAAGAAGACAGTATAGAGACACACACACACACACACACCAGTGCATGTCTGCAGGGGAACGCAGGCTGATTTCTATTTTGGTGGAGACATTTTGAAAAATATGTTAAGTCTAAACTTTCTGTGATCAATGCACTTGTCTAATGTTTTTTTTTTCTTCCTCTACTTTTGTTTTCAAGTATTAATCGATATGAGCTAGAATGAGAATTACAAAGCTGTCGTTATAAACATACAAATTAAATTCTATGTATTTGTTAGTAGTTGGAGGCGCTCGCCTCCACATACAGTTATACATAGAAAGCTTTATGTGTATATAGCTGCATCTTCTCTTGTCTGTTCTGGATGATTCTTGTGATTTGTGTTACAAAATTGTGACACCAGGGGAGAAACTGCAGTACTTTGATCCTTTAAACTTTTACCTCTCCTCTGACTCCCATTCGCCAATCCCAGTTCCTCCCATCCTACATCCTGCCTGTCCAACTCTTTGCCCCAATAGCGTGAAGCATTGTAAGCGTTTTGAGCTTTGTAAAGGTCTTTTTTTAAATACTTATTTTGTGCATAATGTAAAACCTCAAAGTGTGTACTTTGGAAAAAAAAATGTTTTGTGTCTGAAACCATAGCTTCATTGAAACCAAAAAAAAGAAAGTATTGAAAAAAAAAAAACATTTACTATAAATAATATGAAATGTTCTGCAGTAAGGAAGGACTTCTGGTGCCTTACAAATAAAGTCAATCAAATCATAAGAAACGTTGCAGCTCTTCTATGACTCTTTCAAAGTTTCTGTGTGAAAACCTTACTGCTTGTTAGTTAATACAGATTGTCCACTGGTTTTGATGGATTAACTGTGTCAGTGTACCTAATCACATGTGTTTCTTTAAGTGGTGTTTCCCTGTAAGTAAGAGACACCTGTCCACTTCTAGGTCACAGCCGGTATGTTGAAGTGTTTACTACTGATTGTTTAGGCAGAATCGCCAGATTAAGGGTTAACACTGCTGTCGCTGCAGGAAAGAATTAACCACTCTGACATTTTCTTCCAAAGCAGGACAAATATTATTTTGTTAGATTACCTTTTAGGCAGGTATTGTTTCCAGTTCATATCTTGAAGGCTTTAAAGTCAACTTATCACTTTACTCACTCAGACTTTTGTCTACCTGTGAGTCTGGTTGTGCTTGAGGTCTCTGCCTGTAAAAAAAATAAGTCTTGTATATCAATTTTGCCAAGTGCTTTTTCATAGGCACTTCAAAGGCAGGTTTGGTCATTTGGTTGGAAAACAAGCATGATTCCCTCAGTCCTCCGTCCACACCCACCCACCCCCTCCCCTCTGTGCTCCCTCAAAAGCCACTCCCCTCACTTACATGCACAAACCAACGACAAAGTCACAGTATAAACTCCATCATCACTTTGAGTGTGGGCTAGTGCATGCAAGGGGTAGAGAATGAGCAGGGAAACAGGGAGGCATGATTGGTTCATCAGATTGGTACCTCGTGGCAGACATTGTTCAAAGTTTTTCCAGGCTTAAAACTGCTACAGATGACAGATTTTCTTCATTCCTTATGAGTTATTAATGTCTGTCAGGACCTAAAGACAATTTCAATCAAAATCTTAAAAAGTGTATCTGGAGGAAATGACCAACCCTGCCTTTAAAGTTGGGTTCTTGAAAAGAAAGAGAACAGTCTATGCAGTCTATACCTGCTCTTTATGCAAAGAGACATTTGATTAATATGGTTGTGATTTGGCGCTATATGGTTAAATTCATTGATTTATGTTGACTTTAAATAATTAAGCTAATTTGAAATTGTGTTAGAAAAATAGTTAATCATTATGTTAATTTAACAGGAATAAACAATCTGTACAATAAAAAACCTACTTTACAACATGGTAAGCTGACTGAAGAGTTCAGTGTCAGGTCTGGATTGATTGACTCTCAATGATTTTCCTTAAACTTCACAGCATTAAAATGCATAAGCATAATGTTTTGAGGTTTTTGCCAGGCTGAAATTAACCCTGGGAGCAAAGATGTCTCATTTTAATTACATATATACATATATATTATGACCATCTTGGATTCAGAGTTCACACCACTCCACCTTTCGGCCATCTGACGGGGTTCCTGTAGTTCACAGCAGATCCAGCAGGAGGAAGTGTTGATTTACGTTTACCAGTGGTGGTGAAGCCAGCAGGTAATTTACACTGAGGCATTCTCGCCTGTTGTCTCGTGTGTGCGTGTGTGCGTGTGCGTGTGTGTGTGCGTGCGTGTGTGTGTCACATTTGACATGGAGCGTCCTGTGTCGTAAGACGGCGTTGATGAATGTTTATCTATTCAGCTCTGCATGTGGGATTTATGTGACATCTGAGACAGGATCATGGCCTTTATGGCACCTGCACATAATCCTCATTTAGATGCTCTGTCTATTAGATTCACAGTTTGTTGCTGTCACACACATACACGCTCATAGCATTCAGATAAATGCACATGCAACGGATGTTTGTCTGCTCTGTGTTTCTACGTGAATGACAGCACATCCTCATTTTTCTTCAAAACTTCCTCCTCTGTCTCCTTTGCACATTCTTCTTCCCCCTTCCTTCCTCTCCCCTGTGTTCATGCAGACAGAGCAGTGAGTATACCTGACTGTGTGTATTTCTGTGTTTGTGTTTAGAGATAAAAAAGGGAAAGGCCTTTTGAAACCTCAGAGTTCCTGTGGTTTCAGCCCTCCTTCCTCTCTTTCTCTCTTCCTCTCTCTTCCTCTCTCCCCACAGACGGCTCTGGATCTGACACTTGAATAAATATTAAAGTGCCCTCTTTTCCCCCCACTCTTTCTGTCTGAGGATTCACACACTCCTCGCAAGCAGAGGCAGCAGAGGGGAGGATTTTTCTCGTCCAGTGCTTATAAAAAAAAAGGGATAACACTTCTGTGTTTTAGTATTGACAAAGTCAATGAAACAATGCAATCCTATTGGTATCTATTACTTGATATATCTTGTACCATCTGACATCCACTGTCATTAATAAAATATTGAAACACTTCACTGAGAACCGCATGCTGGGCACTGTAGTTTGTTTAACCAAATTCGATACACTTTATTGTCCCCTTGGGGAAATTAGTCTTGGACTCACAGTGCTGCCAAACATTGAGCTGCTTCCACTCAAATAATTCCGTTATGTTCGTATAATGACATATTCCATACGTTCACCTCTTGGAGGCTTCTTTGACTCTTACAAATGAAACTACCGAAGAGGTGTGATCAATTTAACTTTGACTACAACTCTTGTCTGAAGCACAACAAACCATTCTGAAAGGTCATTAATGAAGGGAAACCTTAAAGCTCATTAAAGCAGTGGACTTAATTCAGCCCCTATCCTTAAATAGTTTATTTTTCTTCAATGGTGTTGTATTGAAGTACTGAAGCACGTAGTGTTGTACTCACTCCTTTCACGCCATGCACTTGACACCACTCACCTGAGAGCTGCGCTGTCACTTAACAACGCTAATGTTCATATAACAACTAAAAAGCTAGCATCCACCTGTATGGGCTCTGAGTATGACTCTCACTTCCTGCTGTTCTGGGTGTGTTGCTCTTCTGTTTGGAGTGATCAGTTCAGAGTCTAAAGACCAAATAGAAATAGTGTATTATTGTTAAGTATTATATTATAACCCTTTAAACGTGAGCTAAAGTGAAGTGCCAAAAACAGCATGCCCAACTTTACAGCAGAAATAAACATTCTTACAGCCTATTAAAGACAATGGGTTCGGATCTGCATCGCTCAATGCTTTATTCATCACAACTGTGCAGGGACTTTCCTTTTTTTTGAGCTCACCATACCTGGCTTGTTAGCTTTTTAAGTTTTTGTCAGACATTGATTTACTTTGCTGGCCAGTGCACTAGAGTCAGTAGTTGGCTCTATAGTTTTTCTAAACTACAAACGTGTAAGTCCCTTACATTCCATCTGCTCTCTTGCTCTAGTCAGACTAATAAACAACTCTGATCAACACCAAAAATAAAATGTCCTTCTTAAAACTAGCTAATTGTCCGGCTAATGAGTTAGTCACACTATTAAGCTTTGATAACTAAACTTGTGCAAACCACAGACGTGGTAGCACCCATTGGTTTCCCCGATGTTCCCAGCCCCGCCCGATCGCCTGTTTACTGCAGAATGTCGGTTTGGCAGCCGGGTCGAGGTCATCTAGCAAGAAGTGTGTTCAGCTTCAGAAGGTGACGGAAGATGCTAAGAAGATAAAAAGAGAGAGTGAAAGAGCAAGAAGCAGAGTGTACAATTCTGCAGATTTTATGAAGAACAGATTGCGGCGTATGTAGCCGTTAAGCCACAGCCACACATATCATGGAAACAGTTTAATACACATCCACATGGTCCACGCGATGACAAGCGACTGAGGACGCTAGCAGAGACATTTTGCGAAAACTCCACTAATATTACCGTAGCTTGTCAGTCGACGTGGTTGTTAAGCTTCTCACAACTTCTTTCACCATCGCACCATCTGCTTGTAAACAAATGCACGTTGTCTGAGTGGGGGTGGCGTAACAGCTCTATGTGTGCCTCAAGACAACGCAGTTGCACTCCGATACCTTCTGTGAAATCGTCGCCTACACTGAATTCCTGCACATTGTCGCTTTAAGCTAATCGAGAAGCAGGCAAAGAAGTGGAGTTGAGGCGAGCCAAATGAATATCTCAGTTGCCGAAACATGTTCGTCTAGCTCATTTATTTTGTCATCCAGCTAGCATTATTCCAAAGAACAATTTAAAGTCAGTTATGGGAATCAAGTAAAGTGACACTTAGCCCCTCTTTGGCCTTATTTTGTAACAGTGGGGGTTTCGGCCCAGTTCAACTTTCTTTTCCGTGTATGTTCACTTCTGTCTTTGGAAAGCTGGCATGATGGTGACCAAAATGCTAAACTTGAGGCTTTAAATAGTCAGTTGATTAACCAGTGCATGATTTCATGATTTCTTTAAGTATAGAGTCTATGGAGTTGACCTTTTGTACTTCATTGTAAACAGTCACAAGCTAAAAAGTTTGGAAACCACCCCTTTAAAGACTCTTGCTCTGACTGTGAATTCATGTGAAATGTGTATGGGTACAAAGCCCTGATAGGAATGCACTTAGAAAACAAGGTTTTTTGTGTCTGTGTAATGATGATGATGATGATGATGGTGTGTCTGAGCAAAAAGAGATGGAGAGAGACGGCGAAACGGAGGGAGAGAGTGACGGAGAGCGAGAAGCATCTTGATTAATCATGATTGACTCATTCAGAGCCCACTCGTCTTTACCCCTCGCTCCCTCGCTCCCGCTTTCCTTTATGGCTTGATTACAGAGACGTACTCTCTCTCTCATTACCTCCCCCACCTCCTCCACCCATCATTCCCTTTTCTCTCAATCTTTTTTTTTTCTCTCTCTGCAGCTTTAGTTTATTCATCCGTTCCCAGGGAATGTAGGCTGTCAATCTCTGTCTGTCGCTTCTCCATCTTCTAACCCTCCACCCTCCTCTTCATCCATCCATCCATCCGGCTATCTGTCTCATCCATCACTGTCACCCGTTTTCCTCTTTTTCTCTCTCTGTCTCACTCATTCCTTTCACATTGACACTCTTTCACTTATACATCTCTCACTTTTTTTCTCTTCAAAGGCTTCCTCTCTTTACTTCATCCTCTTTTTTTTCTACATTCAGATTGACCTGTCGTTCCCACAAATTTGACTCCTCTCTCCCTCTCTTTCTCATTCTCTCTCTC